GGCAGCGCCCTCTAGCTGCTCTGCCCCAGGCTTCCCGAGTCAGCCGCTGGTCAGTTTCAGCAGTGGCTGACTTAGGGACACCTGGGTCAGAGCAGCTGGGGTGCAGCCGGGTTGGTCCCGCAGCGCCATGTCCCCTCACCCCACACTAGACCCCTCATAGCCCCTCTTCTGATTGTCCGGCACCCCTTGGATCCTAAAGGTGCCGGATTACTGGAAGTTTACTGTACTGTGATAATGGGATTACAGCAGTTTAAAGTTTAGATGGCACCAGTGGAATAAGTAGCATGATATATGAATCAGGAAGGACTTGGATCTGATATGAGCGCCATGTCCCCTCACCCCACACTAGACCCCTCATAGCCCCTCTTCTGATTGTCCGGCACCCCTTGGATCCTAAAGGTGCCGGATTACTGGAAGTTTACTGTACTGTGATAATGGGATTACAGCAGTTTAAAGTTTAGATGGCACCAGTGGAATAAGTAGCATGATATATGAATCAGGAAGGACTTGGATCTGATATGTTGATAAGAAACGTCAGGAAGCCCCCGCCCCCACCCCCCACACATACACACAATAGTCACTTTCTAATTTGTGGATAGGTACTGTACATGTTTGGAAGATGTTTTTTCACTACCAAGCTAGGACCACATTCAGCAGTGCTCAAGCGTGCAAAACCCAATTTGGACCCAATCTTGCAGTTGTGACTCAGATATAAATCCTGACCTTCCTTGTTTCCATAACAGAGTTCACTAGAATTATTTTGGCTAGGCTCCACAGCTGAAGAAGACTAATGAAATCATTGATTCTCCTTCCACTTTTTCAGGGTGATTGCATACTCAGTACTTCCTCAGCGCTATCCTTCAGGCCCACAGTGAGGTAGAGGACAAGACTGGGCATCGGCAAAAAACGTATGCAGAGTTCTTCCTCAACCCCCAATAATAAGGTGGGTTAATTCCTGTCCATTAGTACTCTGGAGAAATCGATTGGCATTGTAGCCCAAGGCAAGTAATGGGTGGAACAGGTTCTAACTCATTTCCCTTTCTAGTAATAAAAGAGGGAAGAAAATAATTTCCCAATAAGCCCTCCCAATTCCAACCCCGAAGTGGCAGATATATATATGGGAGCCTCGCTCTTGCTGTGTACGTGAAAGAATTGATGAGCAAAGTTCAAGGAAGGTTTTTTATGAGCACTGCGGAGGTAATGTGCATGAGAATCTTTACTCTTCCCCTGGGTAGTACTGCATCACCTGCTCACAGGTCACATTTAGAGCCCATTTACCTTCCATCTGTCATACATTAAAAACAGCAACATTACTAACAGGTGCATAAGCAGGACTCAGGATTCAATCCTCATATTGCCTTCAATAGGAGTTTATCTGAATAAGCGCTTCAGGGTTATTATTATTATTATTATTCATTATTAAATAGATTGTGCTCGTATACATCAATAAGACAAAATGCTATTGAAGAGAACTTTCTCCTCATGTATATGACATTTTTTTAGATGCTCAGTCCTGTGGACTTATTTGCAACACTTGTATCTTAGGTTAAACAATATTACATTGGCAGCTCTGGGGAAAATAATCCAGGAATTTTGGCTCCTAATTTTTGTCTCTTATTAGAGCACAATTCTTTTCCAAACTCCTCTGAACATTTTACTCTGTGTTATTCTTTGATACAAGTGATTTACATTGCTGTGCACGTGACTGATGTCTTTATGCTGGTTTACATTTGGTTGGCACTGAGCAAATCATAGAGGAAAACCTGAGCTTTGACCCAAGGAACTTTCAATCTAAATAAGTAAGCCAATACAGCTGAGCCACATCCTGGATCTAGACAACATTACACAGCCAACAGACATTTATGTAAACAAAAGAGTGACAGCATGTTAACATTAGTTTGCATCACTAGCCGTGCTGCCACTGGTCTTCTACTCTATGACTGTCCTACTTGTCCTCTCTAATGAGTCTGGAAAATACAGAAAAGGTGTTAATGTGGCTCAATAATTAGTATGAATCACCCTCACTAGATTCTGGCACAGTAAGGAGGAGGTTAGGGTTTATAACACAATACAACACACAGGCTGTGTCCAGACTCAGGGTTTTTTTTTGAAAAAAGTAGCCTTTTTTCGAAAAAACTTCACCTGCGTCTAGACTGGAGCTGCGTTCTTTCGAAATTAAATCGAAAGAATGCGGCTTTTCTTTCGACGGAAGTAAACCTCATTGCACAAGGAAGAACGCCTATTTTAACGGAGATCTGTCGAAAATAAGTGTGTGTGGACGTGGGGAGGCCATTTTTTCGAAAATAATGGCCTCCAGGAAGAAGCCCTGGTGGACAATGTGGGGCATGCCTTGCATGTTTCTGGTTCCTGTCTGCAGCCATTTCTTAAAGGGACAGGCCCCCTCACAGCCACTTGTGGCAGCAAAGCAGCCAGAGCACACGGCTGGTTAAGTGCAGCATGTTCCATCCCCAAGACCCTCCTGGCCCTTCTAGAGAGCCTTCTGGGGACCCAACCAGGGGCTCCAAACGCCGGGCACCGTCATGGTCTGGGCCAGAGCTCAAGACCCTTCTCGAGCTCTGGGGAGAGGAGGAGGCCTTACAAGCCCTAAAAAGCAGGCGGCGAAATGCGGACATTTATGGCCGCATAGCAGAGGCCCTGGCCCAGAAAGGACACTACC